TTTGGTTATTAATTCGATCGTATGGGGGTTATATTATAGAATTACTCAAACCTTATGTTACAGTGGCGTTAACTGGCGTGTTTCCAATTTGGCATTATCATCTAATTTCATCCATTACAAAGATAGACCAGCCTCAGGTTCGCAATGATTTCTGTATTCTAATTAACTTAAATCATTGCTAATTAACACTAATAAAAATCAATCATTATTATGACGTCACGTCCCTCTGAGTCCGCTGTATCTGCCTGCATCTTTTCGAATCCCTCCATTTACTTATCGATTAGTTTTCGGCTTTAATTCTTTATATTGTCCAATAAAATCATCTTTTCTGCCCTTGGGATGTGGTTTCTCCTCGCTTGCATGCATTTTAATACAGGCGAGGCATGGAGTATTTCTTGCGTTGTTGGTCGGTGTATTTCCATACTTGCGCAGCCCTATTTTATTGTACTCGATTATTCGCCATTCCATTATTGTTTCCGCTCTGTGGCGCCGGTAGTCACATTAAACACTTCTGCTCGTGACGCATGACGCCCGGCGTCATCGTGACGTCACTCGGCCGGCGGCCTGATTAACTATATTACAAGGATGGTGGATGGCAGTCGCTCGGTTAGCCGTGAGTTAATCAGAGACAAAGCATTAGCAGCAAGTTCTATCGCTCGGCTCCCTGCCATATTATAACGCGAGCCTAATATATTTATATACATATATATCTATATTTATATCTTTATTTATTCATATATATCAGATATCTATCACAAAAATTTTGCGTATAATAAAGACCGCGTGAAAAATTACAATGAAAAATTCGATTACGACGTTTGCGTTGACCGTTGCCATCGTGACACTGGCGAGCGATTCATATGGTAAGTATAACTTTTATATAGTTTAGTCAGTATTATTATAATGATGTTTATATTTATTATTGGGTTACATAATTTGGCGTCGTTATAGAGATCAAATCGCCATGGTGTACACGTTGTTATTGCCATTCATAGTTCTGTTTTAACGCCATATAATTATATTAAGATAGTTAAAGTTGTATTCCTTCCACGTGAAATCGTTATTTTAAGTCAATGTGACCGATTTTAATCATCATTCCTAATTTTACTGATCTTGCACGGTTTTCTCTATTTATGGATGTGTAATGCAGCAAAGATCGTTATAGTTTATGATACAATATAGTAAAGCGAACCATATATAGGTATGAAAATAAACGAAACTTTTTGACGTATATAGTATAGCATTAGCTAAGTTTGTGTCGTGGTTGTATAAAAACTTGGTGAGTATTCGCTACTCCGTGACACATTCGTACGTTAATGTAGCTTGTCATGATGCCAATTACATTTTAAATGTTAAAAATTATCCAAAAAGATTCTAAAACCATCTTAGAAATAGGTGAACCTGATATGAGCATGTCGTAAACTTGCGTGTAGCTACGACGATTTCCGATAGTGCCGGAAATCGTGGACATTCACTCAGGAAAATCACGAAACTAAGCTTATCATGGGTGCAAAGCATAGGCATTTAGTTTCAATTGTTTCAATTTTATTAGCATTGTCCATTAACTAACATGGACTAATATGTTACCTCCAAAATGTAGTTTATACGTGTAAATGAAAGCGGGTAATTGAATTGAAATGATTTGAAAGCGGCTGCAAAACTGTCTGGAAGAGGTTTACGAAAAGATATTATATCAAAATGTTTCTATAGTTTTGTTTTTATTATTTAATGATTTGCATAGATTGCAATTTATTTTAATTTTATTTCATTGATCTTTATTATTTCTATTATCATCAACGTATGTACCTGACATATGCGTGCGTGTGTTAGGTGGAAACGTTCTGATTTGGTTTGTGTGATAGATGGGGGTGGTGAGGTCTGGTGGGGTGGTGAATTTTTATTGAAAACGCTCGAGTGTTATTGTGATTTGGTTTGTGTGATAGATGGGGGTGGTGAATTTTTATTGAAAATGCTAGAATGTTTTTGAATTAAGAACGTTTTGTATTTTATTTTTGTTTTAAATAATTTTAGGTTTGTGTGATAGATAGCTCTGAGGTCTGGGTTAGTGTTGCTCGTTCTTGCTTTATTTTTCTGTGAAGTTAGGGTGGGCTTGCTAGAGGTCTGTTGCCACGTATGCACAGATGGGACACACGTTAGAGAACAGGTGCCCATATATAATAAGGAAACAACGTGCGACACTAATAGGTGGCACCACATGCAGCTGCAAAAATATATGCAAAAAGACATGATAATGATAACTACCATACATTAGTTTCAGCTGGAAAAAAATTGCCTAAATCGACAACCTGCGATGACACAACATTGACTTGTGTAAAATCATAATTCTATATATTATGTGTGTGCGCTTAGCCTGCAACTAAAATCTGTCACAAGCTTGCCTTTAATTTATAACTATGTTATCCAGTGTCATCTATTCGAGAAAATGGGATAGCTAGACAGATAGATGCGCAATCACGCACGCACGCACGCATGCGGATGGATGGACAGATGAACAGAAACTGACAGATAGATAGATGGATTGATCGGTGCTGTACTCACTTCATGTTGCTTCACTGGGAGCAACTGGCTTAGTTAGTTTGTGGCACTTGTGCACAACACGCGCACACGCACACACACACACACACACACACACACACACACACACACACACGTGTGGCACTCGCATTGTGACTTTTCTTTCTCGTTTTTTGGGGGGCACAGTTTTGTTTATGCGTCTACGACTTTCCTCTCTCTCTCGCACGCAGATATCGTCTTCTTCATCTTCCTCTACCAAAAGTACATCTACCCGATCGACCCGAGGCGCGTGAACGAGTTCGGCACGACGGGAGAGGACCACGGCGCCGCCGAACCGTCGCTGCCAATAGGGGGCGCCGATGCCGCGTCGGACGCCGCCGCTGCCAAGTCCGTCGACGAGAAGAAGAACGATTAGATGCGGGGGAGGACCGCGGAGAGAGCAGGCGACGTTGAGCATGGTGCCGCGGTGCGGTACCTTCTCGATTGAAAGGCGGCGAGGAGCGGGCGAGGTTTGGCGCGCACGATTGTCGCTCGGCAAGCGAACGTGCTCGCGTGCGCGAAGTCTCGGCGATCACGGCCGAGTGGCGGTAGGAGGCGGTCAGTCATCGCATGGGAGGCGTCGTGGCATCACGCGTCACTCTGCTCCTCGTCGTGCTTCCCGCGCCACCTAGTTATAGTGCAATCGACACACGTAAACTGCGCGGCAGCCCAGGAAACTGCCCACACGATTCGTCATTGACTCAATAAATAATTATTTAGGAGCCGCGCGGGCTCGTTTGGCTCTACTCTCGCACGGGCAAATGTCTCCACTCGTCGTGACTCTCTGTTCTCTGTGTTCACCGTAGAGCGCTGTGATGTATTTATCCCCCTTCTTTCTCCCCCTGGTTCGTTGTAAAATACTCGCGCATCGATGTGTTGTAGCTGATGTTGCCGGCGGCCCGTGGACTGCGTTGCGGTGCTGAGCATAGCCGTGGTGGGTTTGTCCCCCTTGGCTAGTCGTTCAAACGCCCGCGCCCCGGCTCGTGAGATGTGCCGCGGCGTGCGGTTCCTATGCAATCATGAACAATTCCTCACCGACAACCGCGCGGTATCTGGGAGCGGTGTTAGAGAAGAGACAGTTGGTGGCAGGCGGTTCTGTGAGTTCCATGTGTAGTGAGTTGCAGCTGCATTCGACGCAAATGTGGGTCTTTTTAATCTCGGCGAGTTGACCTATGACCTCTACGCCGACTTTGTCATTGGTGGGTTGCCGAAAAGTGGTTCGTCAAGCGCGAGACAGTGCTTTGGTTGATTAACACGGGCGGTGAAAATTGCGAGGGATTGTTTGTAATCGGTGCCAGTTGTTTCGATTCCAGCGTTGTCTCCGACACATTGTCCGCATATGCTTGGTGCAACCCTTTCTCCATACACCACAGCCTGCAATGCTCTGCCACACAGATGATCTGAAGTGGCTGGCTGGCTGTCTGCCTATACGTTGTGTTGCGCGAATTGTTGATTTCATCTCTGTTGGTATTAATTATTATTATTTGATGTGACTCGCGCACGTGTCACGTGACGGTGGCCGCAGCGCGCGTGCGGCCGTAGTTGTTGATTTTTAGCAATTTTCGTCAGAATATGAATAAGTTTTACCCTGAAATATAATAAATTATCTATCTGTACTGACAGGAGTAATAAAATATGTTGGTAAAACAACGTTACTTGCTTGTTCTTTTCAAATTTGTTCACAGTTACAGTTAAGATAGTTGTGTTTGAGGGGGATGGATTTAGAATGGATGCGTGTAGAAGATATAGTTTTTTCAAGGTTTTCCTTTTTCTTGTAAGCACGACTATCGTGGCATCTGAGTAACGGTATTGTTTATAACACGTCATCAAAACTATTTGGAAATTGTTAGTAAATTTATGATAGTTTTTATTGATTTAATTCTGATATATTCTGAGTAGAGGTAGTATAGGTAACCACAAGAGTGAAAACATATTTATTATGAACTTATGAAGTAACTTGGATTAAACATATAGCAAAGCTAAAGCAGATGGGATTGGTGCATTGTGTGCACGCACGAGCACGCATACATTTCTGAGTTTAATTTCTAAAAATCTGAAGTAAAGGTACACCCAGGTTTTCAGACTTCAACTTGTGGTCACCTTGGCAAAGGTCGTCTGCGGAATTAGAGCATAGATACATACAAACACACGTGTTTGTATGCATCTATTATTTAGGCAATACAAACTTTGCAACTGTAATATAATAATATAACACGCAGCCGGTCACACCAAGACCAATTTAATTCATATCATTATAATACCATTCATACCAATTCATATCATACCAAGTTTATTCATGAACATATCTACACCCAACAGACACAGAAAGACCGTCAGCGAGACCAAGTTAATTCATGAACACATCTACACCCAACAGACACAGAAAGACAGTCAGCGAGACCAAGTTAATTCATGAACATATCTACACCCAACAGCAGGGGCGTAGCTACGGGGGGGCCTGGGGGG